CAATGAGGATGCAAATAATACATGCAAAGTAGAAAATAATAATAAAGGACAAAAAAAATACACCAAAGATGTCAAATGGGAACATAAGCAGCTATGATACATCAGGAAACTTGTGATGAAGAAAACAGCCAAATTGGGTTCAAAATGAAATAAAAAAATAAGTTTTTAAATTGTACTAAACACCTGCTCTTTTACAGAAATTCTTTAAGTTACCCTTGCTGCAGTAGTCACATATTTTTGCTTTTAAACTTCAGACGATGTTACTACAACCGTGAAAGCGTTGTGAAACAGAACCCAAAATTCAATCTCACACACAGTAAGTGGGGACAGAGGCACACAAAAAAAGAGAGGCTGCTCCAGTCTCCCTTTTTTCTGCTCGTCTTTTCATCCCCTCTGTGATTCGCAGCAGCCTTTCAGCTCTCTATCACGTTTCTTCCGAAGACGCTCCCATTGTTCACGTTGCAGCATTATGAGTTTCTTTTGTGCGTGTTTCTCTTTGCTCCCAGAGGAATGCTCGGAAACCTGAAAGGCGGTGCAGGTTGGCAGGGGTGGGATCTCTTTATTTCAGCCCCCTTTTTTTTTTTTTATAGGTAATTATGGAAATAATTCCTCTTTGTTTTCGTCTCTCTGTGTTGAGAGTCCGGTCCATGATTAATTGGTTGCGTAAAAGACTAGCCAATTTTAAATCACAAGGGAGGGGTCAAGGGGGGCTTGTTTTATTGGCTGGTTTTCTTCGTTGGGGCAGCGTGCGGGTGGAGCATCTGAATTAGATTAAATTTAATTAAGGCATGGGGCCCCTGACTGAACACGGGCACATAAATAGGCTGCATGCCAGGCTAGTTGTTGTTGGGAATTCAACATTATGTGTGAGCACAGTTACACACACTGCAGAAGCTCCCCCAGGGCTTCAAGGTCAGGTAGACAGAGGAAACAAACAACATGATGTCTAGAAGAGGAGGAAAACAAGTAGAAAAAAAACACTTATTGTACGCATGCCTCGTCATCCACAGTGTTCTAACAAAAATATGGGTTAGTATTTTTGTAAAGTAAAAATCCCCGACAAGTAGGCCTACTGTATTTTCCGGCGTATAAGTCGCAGTTTTTTTGCATAGATTTGTCAGTCCTGTGACTTATACGCTGAAACGACTTATATATGTTTTTTTTTTTTCATATTCATGCCACAATTTTTGACTGATGCTTTAAATTTCTAAGAACTGCAACAGTGAGTCCTCTCGTGCGCGCTTGCTTCACTCAGCTGGTGCAGGCGGAGGAACACTGGAGAGCTAGTGGCTCCAGCCGCCACGATCGATGGCTGGCTGGCTGGCAAATGCATAATAAATTAGACGGGTCCGTGGTGATATGTTAAAACTTATTTGGCCAATAACTGATACTGATATTTTTCCCTATACCTACTTAAAGAGACTACATAGCTTTCTCTGCTGTGGAATTAAAATACTACATTATTCTGCATGGTCTTAGTCAGTTTGTCCTGCTACCAAATGACAATGTCAAAAGGGGGGCTGGAAATTATTTAACACTATACAAATATATAATATATATTTAAAAAGCAGCGTCTTTTATATCGGTGAGTCATTTTAATGGGATGTCCGATGTCTGATATTTAACTTTATCGCTAATATCGGCTGATACTGGTACCATGCTGATAGTATTGTGCATCCTTACCCGTAATGTTCTTTTGTCTTAATCTAACATGTAGAAACAACAGTGAAACAGTTTGTCCCAAACTGATTCGAGGTCAGGTGAAATTATTTTAGGTGGCCGTGCCATCGACAATCACACACAAGCTACAACACCTGTAAGAGAAGTAACCCCTCCTTTACCCACAAACTTGTTAGTTAGCAAATATTTTCATGGCTTGCTGTCTACTCCAGTTTTTGATGCTCTGGTCGTATTTAGACTGTTATTTAATCAATCATAATGCATTTCAACGATTTGCAAACTATATAAAATACGATTTTAATTAAAATAAAAGAGCTGTAATATTGAAAAGCAGTAGCTCATTTTTATTCTAGCAGCAATGTGATTTCAAGTTTTAATGATTTGGCAAAAAGAAATAGCCTGGTAAAGCAATATTGCAAAACTAATTAGATCAATTGAGAGCCAATGGGTAACAGTGATATTAAAAAAATCCTCCTGCAGGGGTATCGTCCTTCAGTTTGGTGTCCCCAGTTTTAAACTCTCCTAGTATTCAAAGAGATGAGATGTGATGAAAAACAGTTGGAAACATTGTTTTAGACAGAAAGTGGGCACTCAATTTGATTTATGCTTTCATGTTTTTCAGAAACAATCAAATGTTATTTCTCACATAAGGATTTTCGCTTCGGTTACACAAGTTGTCTAACTAAATTTTTCATTCTTTCTCCCTCCTTGGATGGCATTAATCTGGCCTCCAGCTCTAAAGTTAAAAATCTTGGTGTTATTTTTGATCAGGACATGTCTTTTATCCCCCACATTAAAAACTTTACTAGAACCGCCTTCTTCCACCTGCGTAATATCATTAAAATTAGAAACATCTTATATAAATATGATGTAGAAAAACTGGTTCATGCTTTTGTCATGTCTAGACTGGACTAGTGTAATGGTTTGGTATCTGGGTGTCCAAATACTTTTTTAAAAAGTCTTCAGTGAATCCAAAATGCTGCTGCCAGAATCTTAACTGGAGTTAGTGGAAGAGATCATATCTCTCCAGTTTTAGCTTCTCTCCATTGGCTCCCTGTCAAATCCAGAATAGAATTCAAAATCTTACTTCTAACCTACAAAGCTCTCAACAACCTAGCTCCATCTTATATTACAGATCTCATTGTTCCATATTTTCCCAACAGAGCACTTCACTCTCAGACTGCAGGCTTACTTGCGGTTCCTAGAGTTTCCAAAAGCAGAATGGGATGAAGATCTTTCAGTTATCAGGCTCCTCTCTTGTGGAACCAACTTCCAGTTTCTGTCCGTGAGGCTGAGACATTGTCCAGTTTTAAGACTGGGATTAAGACTTTCCTTTTTGATAAATCCTATAGTTGGTTGGCTTGTTATGCTGTTATAAGCTTAGACTACTGGAGAACAAATTGACCTAATTTCTTTAAATGAATTGTTAAAATTTAATAATTTTAATTTGATACTATTTTTATCTTAACATGTGATTCTTGACCTGCCATTGTGTATCTGTTCCTCTCAAACCCAGCTGGTCGAAGCAGATGGACGCTTGTCCCGAGCCTGGTTCTGCTAAAGGTTTCTTCCTCATGAGGGAGTTTTTCCTTTCCACTGTCGCCTTCATGCTTGCTCAAGATGAGAGTTCTGTGATGAAGTTAAACTCAAAGCAGTCTGCTCCTCAGATAAATAATGTTAAATTATTATTTTTATATATGAATGTTTCTGTGCCCTGAGACAACTTCTGTTGTGACTTGGCGCTTTATAAATAAACTGAATTGAATTGACTAAAGCATTTAAAACCATTGCATTTTGCTTGTATCTGCATTTTCCACAGCACTTTTTTTTTTTCTTCAAAAATAGGATTTTATACCACACAATTTCAAATTCCCGTGTACAACTATAAACATTTCAGATCGTGAATCACATCTTTGTGTCGCAGTGTACGAGTCACATTGGTTTGTGCTTTTTCTGGAGATTTGTTTTGATTCTCTGAGACTCTGCACCTCTTCCTCGCAAATGTGAGAGGAATCTCAATGCAGGACTAAACACCTCATCCCCAAAGAGCCAGTAAGTCTCTATAAATCTGGAATTCTTTAAAATGCTCCAAAAGGGCTTGCGGGCTTTGCAGTTTCTTGGGGTCTAATACTAACAGATGGAAACATTTACAGCCTATTGATTCCAACTTGAGATATCTGGTAACGGTCATTTCCTGGCAAGCAATTTCACAATATCCTGCCAGCTCGTTGGTCAGCAGACTGATAAAAGTGCGTGTGAGGCCTTTAGTTTTTAATGCGCATCAACTTTTAAGTAGAACGATGGAAGCGTGGAAGACAGGAAGTATTCCGTTGAGTGTTTTAAGCTTTTTTACGAGATGCACAGACGTTTGATGTTCACAGTCCCTCGAGGCATAAGTGTAATTTGAACTGGAACAGCAACTGTAAAATGCTTTTATGTAGCTCGTTCCTCATTAGCACATCCTTTCTGCAGCTTGGTAATAAATAGGATTCCTTCCCGTCTCCTTACTGTAACAGTGCTGTCAGCTGATAAGCCAAAACACCATTTACACGAGCTCCATCCCGAGCGCCTGATTGAAACTCTCTCGCTGTAATATCCGTCAGTGGAAATGTTTAAGTGCTATTCCCTCATCCTATCTGGAATAATAAGCTGCAGTGTTCTCAGGCATTACAGTCGCCCCTTACCTCGTTTTCAGCTGTGAAGTGGCTCGCTCGGAGTTTGTTACCGTGAGGCTCAGCTCTCACCGTGGGCATCGAGTTCCCCGGACCTTAAAATGGTTTGCAGACTGTTCCAGTGACAAACTCAGCAGCGTGTGACACCACCCCCACCCCCCCACCCCCCCGGCCTTCTCTCATCTTTAATGCAGCTCGAGTCAAATTTTAAATTAAATAAAACGCCGGAGGCTAATTTGCCCCCTTAAAAAAAAAATAATTCAGCTGTTCTGTTACTTCTTTTTATTTCCTATTAAAATGTATGGTGCCTTCTTTCCATCTTGGGGGGGTGGGGGGGGGGGGGGTTCTGTAGTGGACGCTTCACTCCTTACATCCTGTGGAGCTTGTTGGGAGAGCTGGCTGATGCTATTAAATGAAAGCAAATACAGTTTGAAATAAACCTGAAAAGAATTTTCTGGACTGTCTCCTCCACTCCTGTTTTCATCTCCTCCCCCCCTCACCCCCACCCCCCACCTGTTCAACTACAGTTCGTCTTCATTTCCTCAGCCTCCCATTCTCCACCCGTCCTCCTTTCATTCCTTGTGTTAGTTCTACACCAAACTCCATTCTTCCTCCTCCAATGCACCATCTCCCTCCTCTCATTCACAGAAGCTCCCAGCCAGGACTTTCAGGACTTCGTGACGCTGGACTATCATCTGCGCTATTACCCCAGCATCACCTACGCTGTGATCGGCAGCGCAGTCATATTCGTGCTGGTGGTGGCTCTGCTGGCTCTGGTTCTTCATCACCAGAGGAAACGCAGCGTGTTGTTGCCCAGAAGTGTTCGAGGGAGCTCACATCATCACCAGCCCCTCCTGCTGTCCCGTTTGGTCATCCTGGACCAGAGCAACATGCATCCCGGAGGTCCAGGTCTCTCTCCTGGGTCGCCCAGCGCAGCAGGCCCATACAGCTCAATCCCTCAAGCACTACAGCTGCTGTCTGGGACTCTGTATCCCTCCTCGCTGTCTCTGGACTCGCCTCCGTCATACACAGAAGCTGTTCTGGATGTCAGGTGAGAGGAGTAATGATTCCAACAGCTGTGCAGATGTTGTCAGCTGCAGTTTGTCTGCACTGTAAACAATAAAGCAGAAGGCGGAGGCAGAAACGTTGGTGCTGAAAGTCTCCTGTTAGAAGAATAATCTGCATCCTATCAAAACCATCCGTCAGCAACTGTCCCAGTGGTGCTTTTATGTAATTTGCAACAATAATTTAATCTTCAAATTTGTTTATCTCATTTATTAATAAACAAAAGCAGAATGTTGCAGTTTGAACGTTTGCTCAGATAAAAGAAAACAGAGAAGAGCGGTTGAAGAAACTTGACTGTTTCATTTCAAAGATCAATTCTTGCTGTTTTCCAACTTACAGCTTTAAGGAATAACCCGTGTCTTATTTGATCTAACTTTTTTAAATAAAACGATCTAATTAACAATATAATTAACCAAGAAATTTAATTTCTTTAAATAACTTGCTTGAATTATTCTGTGTACCGTATTTTTCGGACTACAGGGCGCACCGGAGTATAAGGCGCATTAAGTGAAACAAAACAGTCAGATAAGTCAAACTTTATTCAGCTCATTCACGATAACCACGTAAAATCTGTTCAATAGAAGTAAGCACATCCAGAGTTAATGCATAAGGCACACCTGATTATAAGGCTCACTGTCGATTTTTATGAAAATTAAAGGGTTTTAAGTGCGCCTTATAGTCTGAAAAATACGGTAAGTCCTTTTTTTGTTTTTAGCCTTAGTCAAAAGTATTGAGTCATTATTCTGCACTAGCTCACACAATGGATCTGTGTTTTTCAGTACCCGGCCTCCTTGGTTTGATCTCCCTCCTCCGCCTTACCTCCCAGATGGGGATCTTCCTTTAGAAGAAAATCTTCCCCAATATGATGATCCTGTGGATCATCGGAGCCGCACCACAGCCCATCACTCTGAACCCACAACAGCCAGAACTGTCATTTTAGGCACTCAGCAGAGTTGCAGCACCAGAGAAGAGTCAGACCAGCTGTAACCACCTCCGAGACCGGAAAACAGAAAATCTGCAGGACTCAAGCACCGGGTGCAGAGACGTGTGAGACTACAGGACAGTCCACAACAAAGACCTGTCTGAGGAGTTTCACAGGATGTGACAAACTCAACAGTGCCCCAAAGTGGCTGCTCACTCAAGCTGCAGCTCCTCCTGGTAAACTGACACTATGTGTTGGCTCCCCCTGCTGGCAACCTGCCTGCATTACACTTTAGTTTATTGCACTTTCGTTATTTTGTTTTTCTTCAAATGAGTTGTATTCCTATTAAAAAATATTATGTAATGATCCAAGTAATTAAATTACACTTCTGCAAAGAGGGAAGGGGTAATCAACAACTCACTGGCGTGTTTAGCAGTTTGTTGCAGCAAGTGATGAGCACATAATCGTCTTTATCTGCTCAACTTTTTGAGCCTTTGGAGTTGAAGTTGTGCAGTTTGTTGTAATTCCTTTCTGCGTTTTCGTTTTCAAATCTACAGGAGTTTTCAAAAACTGTTGAGAATAATTGTGTTGGTATTTTAAATCCCATTTCATATGAAATCAGTGCACTTAAATCACAACAATTTAATATCATGAAACGAGTGGAAACACATGAACAGATTGTTCATCCATTGGATTTGCTGATGTGAAAATGAATCATAATACGAGACAAATCCTGAGACAAATTGTTTTTAACCAGCTGCTTCTTTAATGGGACTTTGAACCAGACATCATCGTAAGATCAAATCGAGCTGTTTTCATTGTTTTTGACAGTATTTCCTATTTTTTCCAGTGTTTTTGTGTAAAATTCCAAATAAATATTTGTGAAGGACCATTTATAATTGATTAAATAATGCTAAAACATTTATATATATATAAAGCATTCCTCTAAATAGAAAAACAAGTGAAAACACATTAATAAACCAATCAAATATACTTCATATCTGTCTGAAGACCAATAACTAATTTTAGCAAAAAGTAAATACAAAGGACTGACTTATACCTGGCTTATTGAGCATAAACTTTGATAAATACAAAGGAATTTGTTTGGATTCTTTTTGCCTCATGGGCACAATAAACCTTGAAAAAACAAAAGATCAGTCAGATATAAGATACAAGGTAAAACTTCAAGTTTACATGCAGGACTTTGTCTTTCAAAGTTTGAACTGGTGTGCTACAAAGTAAAACCTAACAGTATGAGACTGATGAAACTCAAATTTAAAGATTCATACTTTAAATGGTTTGTTTGAAATTGTGCATAAAGACCAGCAAAAAAAACCTGTTGGAATAAAATATGAGTGTGTTGCATGAAACTGTAGCTGTGATTCATGTTTCTTTATTAGCCAGCCATAATAATGCAGATATGAACCAAAGATGCCAACCTTTTTTAAAGATGTTGCTCTCCACAGGAATACTTGTGTACTTTTACTTTGATTATACTGTATAAACACATAAAATGTTTATTGAGTAAAACTGAATTCATGCCATTTGCTGTAAAACTGAAAAAAGTTCTCAGGTTAGAAATATGCCACTGCCACAATTTATTTTTTTCCCCTGATTTGTGTAGTTGACACATTTGTAAAGTTGTTCAAATGATGTTTTCTATTCTCTGTATTGTGAACTTTTGAAGTAATATAAATGTCTGTCCTGGATCACTCAGACATCTTACTTTTTCATGACTCGTAACTTTTCTCTTATTGTCTTCTTATGGATTATCATCTTGTTGAGACTTTCAATGGTTATAATTTAACTGGTGTAACTCATATTACAAAGCTGTCCTAACTAGATTATGGCCCCAAAGAGACAAAACATCCTAACCAGTAGAGATTTTGTAGCAAAAGAAAATGCACTTTCAGTTTGTATAAGTGGAACAAGAAACATGCCATAATGTAAAACCTATCCTGTTATAGAGATTCACTTGAATTACTACAAACAACACATGATTGTTGTGAATTACATACACTTAAACTAAAACAGTATCCAAGTTCAGAATTTGCAGAAAATAATAATTTCACTTATTTTGAGCTCCTTAAAGTATTTCAGTCAAACAGTGTGAGAAGCCACATAAAATCCTCTTTTCCAGCTGCTAAAAACAATAAACATCTGGACCACGTGGACTCATATAAATTATTAGATAGATTTTTACTGTATATTTGAGAGAGTCTACCTTTGTTGTAGATGTTCAAAAGTCAATAAGAAGGTGTTGAAGTAAATTTATTCCTAAATCAAAGTGGAAAATCTTAAGCAAAGTATTTATCTTTCTGTCAGATGTTGAGGGAAATAAAAAGCATAAAGAGCTCCTAGATGGTGATTAATGCCAATTATAACCTACAATATCCAAGAGTCAAAAAGTATTTCAAGTTTAATTGCTATTTGTAGGGAAAGCACTTAAATCAAAGTTTGCATGTTTTGTTCATGTTCTCATGTATTTTTGCTGCAGCAGTTTGTGCAGTTCTACACATCCAGCAGTAGGTGTCGCTATTGTCATGCACATCCAAACCAAGGAAAGCATTGATTTGTAAAATTAATCTGTCACACTTTAGCTTTCTGTAGTGCATATGTGCTACTAGCATGTTTTGAATTACTTTTTTTGTTTGTTTTAGGATCACTTCTTTATATCACTGTATCTAAGAAACAATTTCCTCAGATCTTCGATTTTACTTTTGAACTTTGATATATTTCAGATACTACATGCTGCCCAATGACATTCCTTACAACCAGTTTAAGAACAACCATTTCCTCAGCAGCTGCCACTCATCTTCATTGTATCCTCCCCACCAGTCCCCACCTCCACAACCTTGCATCTCATCTCGCTGATCCTACCCTAATATCCGCATCACATTATGACACATCAGATACAATCTCAGACTGCTGTGTTTCCTATCACCTTACAACCATCACATCATGCTTTGATGGATATATATTAAAATAGTTATATAAATATATATTATATATATA